CCCCAAAACCCCAAAACCCCAAAACCCCAAAACCCCTATAATAAAAACTCGAGTTGAAAGTAGAGTGTAATAACTTGCTTAATCAAATAACTATTAAATAGAATCAACTGTCGCTCTATCGCTATCTTCTCTCTTGTTAATACAAGCTTTATTTTCATATCCATTATTTTCCTTTTCTTTATCAGTCATTGATCTGAACAAGTCTTCACGCTCTTCTGGATCCCCTGCTGTCAACTGGCTGTACTCATTATCCTCCTCATTCTCCCCTAAAGTCCCTGAGACACGAACAAAGATGCTGACTTCAGAGAATCTGCCCTCTTTTTCCCTCGCTCTCAGAATACTAATAAGGTATTCTGGGAAGTCAATGTTATTCGCAGTGTAAAAAATGTAGATGAAGTACCAGATCACCTTCAGGGACGATAGTATGAAAATTAGGGCAAACTTCCATGACTTCTTAAAACTATCTTCGAAGTAATCTATTCCATGAACTTTAGACCCAGGGATGACTTCTAAAGCAGTGTGGAGTACCACGAATATCTTAAAAGCAAGGCTCGATATAAAGAACCTACGGAGTTTCTCCTCAATCTTTTCGTAATGCTTGTACAGATGTATGCTTAAATTTTTATGTAAGGACCAATACAGGTATATTTCGCTTATAATTCATAGAAGAAAAAACCCTGGTCTTGAATAAGACAAGCAGTATTGAATAAATCTAGAAGCTTGGCAGAGAGGGTTGTTTTTAGTAGCATCTTTTGTATCGTGGATCTCTTCACAACCATCAATTTCCCCAACAATAACAAAAATTAGAAGTCCAAGGATTATTACGTAAAAGATACCTAAAGCTACGCTTCAGGCTATCTCAAACCAAATGTTCTTTCTCTTATAAGAATTAAAGTCAAAATTTGTTAATGTATCTTTGCTTGAGTTATCAACTTTCTGGAACGTTTTCAGATGATTTAGGAGGATGAGCCAATATATCTGATTCATTACCACAAAGCAGAACAGATGAATATCATAAATCATGAAATACTTCAGCCCATAAGGAATCTGAGCACCCATAACTAGACCAGTAATAACAATGCCAAGACCTATCACGAAGTGTGCCAAAAGTAAGCAATGTTGTATTATCTAAATTTTTAAGAACAATTTTTACTCTTGCGATATCAATATATTTTTCCTTACCCCTTTGAATAGATTTCTAAACAATAAATATCTGTTTACTTACACTACACTATTGATAATACCAAATACAAAGGCTATACAGAGAGCAACCCTAAAAGAGAAGCTACTCCAATGCATAAAATCGCTTCCGTTTTGTCCATCTTCTACAGATGAGGCAACAATCGATACCAAATTCCAGCATTTTCTCGTGATAATAATATAACACTGGGGTTATAACTTCCCAGGGGTTTTGGGGTTTTGGGGTTTTGGGGTTTTGGGG